CGTCTGCGGTGGTTTGGTCATGCGAAACGAAGTGGAAACAGTGCCATAACTTCTCTTGCAGATGTTGAAGTACCTGGCACACGTCCCAAAGGCCGTCCAAAGAAGTCCTGGTCGCAAACAATCGAGCAAGACACGCAAGCTCTAAATTTAAATGAAATGGATACAACTGATCGTCTAATTTGGCGCAAAATGTTGATGGCAAAGAAAACAACGTCCTACCTCGGGAAACCGGGTCTCTGGACGCAAAACGAAGATTGATTGATTGATTGAATTTGAAATTAGTAAGTTAGCATAACAAAGGACACTATTAATATGAACATAGCCAAGTTTTCAACATTTTGCAGAAAATATTAAATAGACAAAAATAATTAAATGAATAAAATACTAAGTAAAATTGTTAAATTAGTAAATAATATAAGTAACAAAGTTGAGGAATACTGTATGAATGTAATGAAATCTAACAGTTAGAACATCCTCCAGTTCCTCCTCTGCTTCAATCTTCTCCATGGTGACCTTTGCAACCTTGAAATGACTTCGGGCTAACCGTAAGGTCGACTTGGAGGCATTCCAGCAACTTCTGGGCAGTTCCACCAGACCATACCCAAGCAACAGGACCAGCAGTGTCAGCCCCCAGGTGTTGCTGGCGGTTATGGCCAGCACTTTCAGTTGTCCACTGAATTTAGAATTATGAAAATTTGTTTACATAGGCAGTGTGATTAAAAAATCAACCCTTATTTGAACCTTCCAAGAAAAATAGACAATTCAGACATGAAAATCTTCTGTATGATTTTTATTCAATAAATATATTGTAAAATGAGTGAATGATCTGAAACTGCAATACATTCATTGGCAGTAACTGTAAAAGTGAATCAAAATAGTATAAAAAAAACATTAACAACAGTAATGGAAATAAATTATTACAATATCCACATGGAAAATATATTTTAAATAACATTAAGGAAGACCACAACTGATTTATGTATATTTCAATTCCTGTTACATCCCATTTAAATGAGGCAGCAACAAGTTAAAAGCAGCACGATCAATGATAGCTTACAGGTTGAAGACCAGTCTGGAGGTAGCTGCCAGGTAGACCAGACAGCACCCGAATATGACGAGGTAGGTCCCATAGTAGATTGCATTCACAATCAGGGCATATTTGAACTTTCCAAGAAATGTGAATTCACCTGCCTTTGCATACGATTGCATCATTGGTAGCCAAATCCTTGAAAGATGTTGATATGCATTGGTGTTATGTGATATTTAAGTAGATGGATGGTAGATGAATGGTTTTCAAAACAATGCTTATTTATTCAATGGTAAAGTAAAAGACATTTTTAAAAGTTTGAATCAAGGTTAGTCAAACCATTATAAAATATAATTATTCTGAATTTTTAAACAATAAATTTGAATTGGATTTACTATTAAATAATTAGTTATTTCATTGGTAACAGTTGCATGAGGTTAAAGATTCTGTTAATTTTGGAAAGCATTGATGCCCATTTTCATATCTCATCATAAATTTAATCCATAGCAGTATAATAAAAAACACAATTTAATATAAAAGAGTTTTCTTTTATTAGAACAAAATCTATGACAAATTACAGTACAAAATAAATGACCAACCAAGTTAAACATTGCGAGGTCCAATAGACAACATGCCAGAAAACTGAAAGTGTAAATGTTGTCATATAGGTCCAAGGTATATAGCAAACTTTTGCAGGTTCTGGCTGGGGTGTTGTTGTTGTTGTGATGGTGGCTTGAGTTGTTGTTACATTGGTTTGAGTTGTCGTTGGGAATGATGTAGGAGCAATTGTTGAAGATGTATTGATGGTGTTATTGCTGTTCAGTTGAAATATGAGACTTGATGATGTTGTTGCTTGAGTCGGTCCAGAAATGAACGTTGTCAACATTGTAGTTGTTGGAATGTTTGTAGTAATATTGTTGTCTTGCAAACACTGATCATAGAATGTCTGAATAAATTTAGGAGTTAGTTTTTCAAACTAAGGTACATTCTTAATTAAGCACAGTTAAATGAAAAAATAACTCCTTTTTTAAAATGATTTAAGTCAAATAAATATATTAATCAATAAATAAACAGAAAATGAAAGGGATAATTTATTTTTTCAAATCAGTTAAAATTGACATTTAAAGATCTTCTAAGTACCTATCTAGTCAGCCTAATTTTAATTAATATTAACAATGCAAGTGATAAGAAGTTGAAATATTATACTAACAACTGTGACATCGATTGGCAGTGCGAATATGATCATGAAGGGTAGGGTCCATGCTACCAAAGTGACTAACGTCACAAATAACTGGTGACGTTTCCAATTTCCGTAATGCCAATGCAAGAACCCAACGGCGAGACAAACGGAAAAAATATCAATTATGAAGGGTGCCACCGTCATTTTCTAACTCAACTGCAACAGTCTGTCTTGAGCATAATAAAACTACTTAAAATTAATTAAAAAATCTGTTTGCCTCACTCTAACTAACTCTCTCTACTAACCACTAGCTAGGCCCTAGGGCTTTAAAAAAAAGTTTAAAAAAGTGATAAAATCAAAATGAAACTTTGAATGTAGTTAAAATCAATTGTCTAAAATTAAGCTGCGAGATAATGACAACATGAGGGTATTCTAATTCCACTAATTCAATATATTTGGTAGAATAAAGATTAAAGATCAATATTCATATTCAACGATAATCAGCATCACTTTAAGATTTTTTTAAGACGATATTAACCTAACACCAAAACTATGGCAATCCCATATTATTTGTTGAAATTCAAATTTAGAGTGAAAGATCCATATACTTAGAATATAGAATAGAATGGAATAGAAAAATTATATTTTATATATATATATATATATATATATATATATATATATATATATATTTAATCATTACACAACTACATTACAAGATCATTGACATATACTTCAATTTAAATACCAATTGATATTTTATTCAATATTCATGTTGAATATGTTGCCAAGTATTACACAACTCACATATATAATAAAAAGTAAAACATACATACATAATATATAGAATACAACATGACAATGAAAAATAAATAATTACTTAATTGCATAAAATTCTTCACGTTAATTGGAGAATTATACACACGTTGAAAACGTTTGAAGTATGAGGGGTTTAAGACATTCAGTGCAATATCAGTTAATAGTTTATTACGAAAAACATGTTTTCGATTGTCAAAAGTCTCGTTGGTTTATGAGTTGGTTTAAACAGCAGGACCACTTTTTTAACGTAGTTGTTATTGCACGATAAGCTGGTTCTAATGAATACTGTTTGAAATTCAAAGCATTATCTTTTGCGTTGATACCTCAATTGATTGCGTGTGTTTTATATCAAATATGTAATGTATACACTTCGTGTGGTTTGGATGTACAACTTCTGTGGTACAAAACTTGTGTTGTAACTGAGTGAGTAGTGGGTGACATTTCACATGTAAGGATCTCCGCATTTGTCAGAAATAAATGTCTATTAACTCAATACCTATTGCATCTTAAAAATATTTTATTATTTCTATAGTTTTCAGATTTGCCAAAAATTCTTGGCACCTAGTCAAACGCATTTTTGAAATCTGTAAAACAATGGTTACTACATTTTGCATTTTCCATCAAAAGTTTCATCAAATGAATTGATTGTATTCTGCTTCTGTCTATTCATAAACCTGCTTGTTCCTACTGTTAATTACTAAAGTAATGAAGCCATGGAGTTTTTTGTAATTCAATGACTGAAACCACTGAAACTTAATAAATTGAACAGTTTCGTTAAAGTTTTATTACTTTTTAAACTAATAAACCTGATGTGATACATGTGTAGTTTAGTGGTAATAATTATTTCATCTATTAAGAAGAAAGTGAAAAAAGAATGATGTTAGACTTTCTCTATTAAATTATTGTTTCGTTTAGTTGGATCCACTCATTCAGTTTCAAAAGATTATCGCACTGCTTGTCAGTCACGCCTTTCTGGACGGACTCATTTAAAGTTCAAGGAAAATATTATTAAGTTGTTGTCACCATTTCTAAAATATTTTTGAGAACATGTGTGAACATGCAAACAAAACTGTTGGAAGTAAGGCTATTGTCATACTTGGAACTCAGTGGGGAGATGAAGGGAAAGGCAAGATAGTGGATTTGTTGAGTCAGTCTGCTCATGTTGTCTGCAGGTGTCAGGTCCGTCTCTCAATTATTTCAACGATGGTTGATTTTAATAATTTTTATTTCATTTTATAACTAATTCATTTGAATTAGTTTGATTTTTTAGTTAGTTTAGTTTTAGTTTAGAGTTTAATTTAGTTTTGGTTTAGTTAGTTTTAATTGTTTAGTTAACAATTAATATTAATCAGTTTTATTTATTTTTATATTTATAGTTGGAATTAGATATAGATTAGATTAGAGACTGTTAGAAAAAGAAAAGTTAGTTGGTACAAGTTACTAGTTTTTAGTACTACTTAGTTAGATTAACATTAAATATAATAATTAGATAATTAGAAGAAAAGTATGTTTTGCTTTTGTACTTTTATCAGCTTAAACTTGAAAATGTCATGTCTGTGTTGTTGAAAAACAAAAAGTTAATCATTAACTTTTTGCTAATAATTTTTGACCAGGGAGGAAACAATGCAGGCCACACAGTTGTGGTGAATGGTGTCATGTATGATTTCCATCTCTTGCCTAGTGGTTTGCTCAACCCTGATTGCCTTAATGTTATTGGTCAGTTTTAAAATCATCAAATTGAACAAGATATATATTACTGTCTCATAAATATTTATGAAGAACTTTTTCAAATTTTAAAAACTTATTTAAAATGACTGTTTTATTATTAAAAGAAGTATGTGTTTAATGTAGATTTACTTTTATATTTGTTAATTAAGTCTATGTAAGCAATGATAAAGAATAAATCTGGTTTGTTTAAATGATGGCCATATTAATGAAATGACAAATATGTAAAATCGTAATTATAATGTTTACATGTATTATGAATGTAAATGATTTACATTCTGTTTGAGAGCCTGCCTACCTAGTTTTATGATTCTTTTCACACATCCCCCTGTTAGGTAATGGTGTTGTCATCCACTTGCCTGGTCTCTTTGATGAGATAGAGAAGAACGAATCGAAAGGTCTGACTAACTGGCACGATCGGCTTTTTGTTTCATCACGTGCTCACTTAGGTTTGTTAATGAAATAATTAGGTTAATGGTAGTATTTAATTATTATTTATTATATATATATAATTATTGTAATGTGTTATTACATAGGTCAGACACGATTATGCTACCCATATTATTTTAATGGGATTCAACTTGTTTGAGATTGCTTACTTTATTTAGCTGACTATTATTGCTTTTATTTTATTTGCATTTGCTAAACTGGTTAATACAAAAGTGTTTGTGGATATGTTTGACTGTGCATAATATAAATTTCTACATACATTTTGGCTAATAAAAGTAATAATTCTGAATAGAATGCATTTTTATGTAATGTTATGTATTTTGTTAGGGGCCTTTTTTTAAATACTGTGAATATGATTAATGTTGGTTTTTGTGATATGTGCACATGTGTAATTTGATGTATGGATATTTGTATGTGTGTGTGTGTGTGTGTGTGTGTGTGTTTTTGTGTTTGAGATTTAAGTTAGTGTTTGTATTGTGATCTGTTGTGATCTGTTGTTTAATAAATCCATTGTTATAAGATTTTCTTAATAGTTAGTTATAATTATTCTATAAGATTTTTCAACAATATTTATCAATATTTATTAATAATTAGTATTTGTTCTTGAGAATGTACATTAGATATTTAGAAATATTTGTTAAAAATTAAGTAAATTAAAAAATGGATGAATGAATGAATGAATGAGTGATTGAATGATTGAACAAATAAATAAATAAAAAATTGGAAAATAGTTACTTGAATAAACTTTCATTTTCACAAACAAAGACATTTAAATTTTCACAAACATACTAAACAGTGTTCGACTTTCACCAAGCTGCTGATTCTATGGAGGAGTCGGGAAAAGGACAGAACCAGTGATTACATTTAATTAATTAATTACCCAATTAATTAATTACCCAATTAATTGAATGACCTTTATAATGGAATGTAATTATAATTAACTTATCATCTTAACTAATGACCAGAATTGGAACGACAAAGAAAGGAATTGGACCGGCTTATTCATGCAAAGTAGTTTTTGCAATGATGATGGTGCTGCTGGTGATGGTGATGGTGATGATAATGATGATGAAATTATCACTATTACTATAATGATAACGATTGAAAGGATGGTGAGTATGTATAATAATGATAAAAATAGAGATATAATATTATATTATATAATATTTCCTGCTCAATATGATACAACATAATGATAAGATGATGATGTATGCTGAAATGCATGGTGGTATGATTATTTGATGATAACTTGATTTAATGTGGACGATGATGATGATGATGGTGGTGGTGATTATACTGGTAGTGATGTTTTAAATAATAATGGATTGATGATGATGAGGATGGATGGATGATAATGATGATGATGATGAGGATGAGGATGGATAGATAATAATGGATGGATGGATGGATAAAAATGGATGGATGGATGATAATAATGGATGAGGAGAAGGATGATATTAATAATAATGGATACACGAATTAAGGCAGCCAGGTCAGGAATAAGAGTTTGTGACCTCATACACGATTTCTGCCTCTTCAGTGAAAGGTGGTGATGATGATCATTTAGGATTGCTACCAACCAATGATAACGATGACTACGTTAATGATTATGGTGATGATTAATAACGATGGTAATGATGATTAATGATGATGATGTCTGTTATAATGATGATGAAGACGATGATTATGGCGATGCTTATCTTACGTTCTACACTTTTTAAGGTTCAAATGGCTAGCCAACCTATACATGCAGCGGTATCCAACGCTAAAAGTTGACATTGACTCTGAATTGAAGAGATACAAGGTTTAAGTTGTGTGTTAATTTCTAATTTTGTGATATTGTTACAAAAAGAGAGATATACGTTTTTCTGTGCTGCTGTGTGAGTATTATGATTTTGTTCCTGCTACTGTTTAAAAATGATTATTTGTTATTTGGCAAATGAAGTTTTACATCTTGCCGAACATTAGGAGTTCAGGGATCGCCTGGCCCCGCTCGTTCGCGACACGATCACATTCCTGTCCAACGAATTCAGACAACCTAACCGACGAATCATTGTTGAGGGGGCCAATGCCACCATGTTGGATATCGATTTTGGTGCGTATCAAACGATGGTGATGACTACGACGATAATAACGTTGCTTTTTCACTGTCAATTTTTATTTCATTTAATATCTTATGTCCAGAATGACGAGTATTCTCATTTGTTGTATGTAACCACACCACCTGTTAGGTACCTACCCAATGGTAACATCGAGCAACTGTTCAGTAGGGGGGGTGTATACGGGGCTTGGAATTCCCCCACATGTCGTGGGCAAGATATACGGGGTCGCCAAGGCTTACTGTACCCGAGTAGGCCGGGGGGTTTTTCCCACTGAGATGGATAAGGTTGCAATGTTGAGTTTTAATTCCAGATTGTTGTTTTGTGATTAGTTTTTTTTTATAGTTTAGTTGACTTTGTGAATAATTTATTAAAATTATTACGCTGTGATGTATTTTGTTAGATTTGTTTTTGTTCTTACTATTCTTTCATGTGGGACACGTTATTAATTGGTTTGAAAATTGTGAGAACGTTTCTAGAAACATCTTTTGATGTTTGTGTAAAAGTACTTGTGTCTAATGTTCTCAGTGCTAATTACGCTTTTCTAATTTCTGTCGTCTCTGAAATTTCTGCTCATGACTAATTCATATCTGTGATAACTTTATTAACTAAGTTAAAATATCCATCCTCCATTTGGATCTATCCCTGTTCATTTGTAATTGTCTTCAATTTGGTCAGAAAACAGATGAGATAGTGAGGAAGAGAGGGAACGAATACGGAGTGACCACGCAGAGAGCAAGAAGGTGCGGATGGTTTGATGCCTTCCAGCTTTCATACGTCGACAAAATTAATGGATTTTCTGCGTTAGTCGTGTAGTGATGTAGTTGGAGAGATGATGATGGAGATCAGTGAATGGTGAAGGGATGATGATGTGGTGAGAGAAGTGGGTTACAGATTATTCCATTTTCATATTTATTCGTTTTTTTTTTATTTAACCTATCTTGTAATTATTTCTTCAATTTCGTGTTACAATCTTCTCTACAACTGACATAACATGACAACGAAGACAGGTTGGCAGTGACAAAGCTGGACATCTTGGACGAATTCGACGAGGTGAAGATTGGTGTCGAGTACTTGATAGGTGGAAAAATCATTGATTACTATCCTGGTAAGTTTGCAGATGGACTGATTGTAGATGTGGATGAATGCATTGAAGAATGGTTGGATTGATTGTGATATGGATGAATAGATGGAGGAATGAATTGATTGGTATAATAATGGAGGATTGAACGATAAATTGAGTATTTCTGTCTCACATTTAACTACATTTGAAAGTTGGACAAATAGATTGTGGAATAAATGGATGATTGCGAAATGTGTATGTATGGTGGTAGTTTAGTAGCATCATGTGAGGTTGTGTTTAGACCAGCTCTTTACATCAACCCACGCCTCACCCAACCTCTGTCAGCATCGCAGGAAGAACTGCAAACAGTTTGCGTGAAGTACATCACCCTTCCAGGCTGGAAGTCCCCAACTTCAAACGTCAGAAGTTTCGACGGGCTGCCTTTAAATGCCAGAAACTACATCGAGAAGCTGGAGGAACTTGTTAACATTCCAAGTCGGGTTTTCACATTTTGTTTTATTTTTAAAATTTTAATTTTTTTTCTCGTGTTCCTTTACAAATTTTTTTGAGTATATATGTGTGGGGATATACCATGGTAAGCACCGTTTAAAGATCTGGCAATTGAAAGTGATGAGTGTTATATTGGTGAATGTAATGGATATAATGGATATAGTCCGTTTGAATGGTTTGAACGGCTCATTATGTATCTCAATGAAAGCATGTACAAATAATATTTTCCTCAATATTGTATTGCATATCAATGACATTTTTATAAACCATAAACATTGAATGAATAAATAAAATTCTTTGTTTAAAATGAGTTAAATTTACTTTTCCAGTCAAATGGATTGGTGTTGGGAGTTCTAGAGACGCCACTATCTGCAGATGTGTCCAGGACAAGCATTAAAATAAATGCTACACCAACTATTTAAGATCAATATCGGTCTACTCAAAAGACGAAGTTATATTTAATGTATGTATATGAGGATGGCTGTTGGTTCTTATATTTTGTTCTTCACTTTGCAATTTGAGACTTCACTTAATTGGACTGATTGGCTTAATGCATTGCATTCATTCACTGATACCGCTATATGTACGTACACTCGCGTACACAACACAATGCACACATTTGCTCAATAAATGCATGCACACGCACACACACACTAACTTACTTGTGCGCAAACATGTATTAGCTCAATTGGCACATTAGGTTATTACCAGAAAGCTGACAAGTATGTGTAATATGGAGACACAAATAATTCATAACCGATCCACTGCTACAAACACACAACACATGAATATAAATATAGTTTTGAAGAGCTTTGCAAATAATTCAGTGAGTGAAATTATGTCATTTATGTATGGGTGTTCTTTTCCTGTCCATTCTCTCCTTTATTCCTTTCATGTGGTGCATCCGCCCGGAATGTGTATGCGTGTCAAATCATGTGTTTGAAGTTTGCGGTGTGTGTGTGTGTGTGTGTGCGTGTGTTAAGTTCTAGATGTTGCACGGATTTTACCACATTTTGGGTATTTTCTTGTGTGTGAGATTGCAGTGATTCACCCACGATTATATTTTAATAGGAGTTTTACACAACAATTCAAACAAGTTTGTTTCTTCTTTTGCAAATTATGTATACAACATATACATATTCTGACGTTGTTTTGACGTTGTTTGCAAGTGATTTTTGTTGTTTATTTGTTTGTTTAATAACTATCGTCACGTAATTAACTATCTTGTTGCTAAAATTTATGATACAGAATTTCAACTTAGCCTATTTTTGTACCAATGGCTGCTTTTGTTTATTATTTTTGTAGTAATATTTAGGCACTTTTCATTGTTGTTATAAGTTAAATACCGTTGTTACTGTTAGATGTCGTTGTTATCTCTGCACAGTTGAACGCTGATTTACGAATATCATTGTTACTCATTTGTTATCTCGTGATTTAAATGATGTTAAATATATAAACATGCTGCTTTTTGATTCCGCCCAGTCTCTCAACCAGTCAGTCACTCGTCAGCTGGCCACTTGACTTAATGACATATTTCAATGGTTTCAATGTTCCTTTCAAAATGATTTTATTTAAAATGTTTCGTCGATTCTATTCAATGTGCGTAGTTTCATTGTATGAAATGAAAACAGTTTGCGATTATGCAGTGTCAAGTTGATGTAATGTTGAATTAATTATATACGGAATTATTTCAATCGTCCCATATTAAATATTTAGATGGTCTCATACATGTTCATCGTTAAGAGGTAATCTTTTGAAACAAATCAAAGCATTTATCAGAGTTTTCATATTTATTTGTACTAAATAATTATTTGTACAATAATTTATTTAAAATTTAGGCACTTGTTATATATCACGTCAAATTATTCCGCATCATTTACAACTCGTTAACACTCGTGATAATTTCTTGATTAACGTTACGACCATTCGACGAAAAAATTAAAAAAGTTGTTTTTGCCGCGGAAAGCAATGACGTCGCTGGTGCCATCTGTCGGTCAGCTATTTCTTTTTGCCCCGTTTGAATAATGAGCACCCATGCTTCTTAGCATCGGCCAGCAAACATCGCGTCGATACGGACAAATGATATGGCAATAACGATAATAATAACGATGCACATGTTCCTTTACATGCGTTCGAGTGTGCAATATGCAGACTTCAAGTCTGTTCTTCTACCGTTAAGCGTACGTAGAAACATTAAGTTTTATGTTCATCTCATCCTTGCTTTTACGTTCCATCACTCTTATTTATTATACCATCTCCTTTTATGACGTCACCCGAACCAGCTGCTCGCCCCTACCCATCAGTACTTCCGTTTGTTCGTCTGTCCGTCCGTTCGCTCGCTCGTTCGTTCGTTCGTCTGTTCATACGCTTGTTCATTCATCTGTTCGTGTGTTGTTCGTTTAATTATTTGTTCGTTCAATTGTTTGTGGTCATTTGTAATCGATTGTTCATTTGTTGTTTTTTTAAAAGCTTTGCTCTTGTTGGTTAAATTCTGTTTGGCGAGATGAATTAGTTTTCTGATTTTGTTGCTATTTGCTACTGAGATTTCAAATAATTTAAAAGAGCCGACGTATTTGGACAACGATGAATGCAATTAAATAAATAAATACAGCTTTGATAATTAGTAGTTACAAATTACCTATTTTTATACAGAGAGAGACTTCATTTCAGTCATTCAAATTACAATAGCACATTCATTCAAGAATTTTTTACAACTGCATATAAAATTATTAAAACAACGTGGTCGTAATTTTAATTCACTGTAATGCATGCAACATTACATTGGAGGAGGCAGTCTTCTTAATTGCCTGATTTATCTCTGGCATCATTGTGCAGTGCAGTAAGCTTTCACGTCGTAGCTATCATCTCCACATATTCTGTGATGGTTTCATGCAACATGCTACATTACGTACATCCTCCCAACTGTCTTGATGTTCCCTCGTAAATTTTTATCAACAGAACTCTCAGCTGAAACGCAGAAATGTGAAAAAAGAATCACATACACGCATAAACAATTTAAATTAAAATAAATGTGATAATGTCATTTTATTTGTGGAGTTGAGTTTCGATTTAGTTTAAACGGTATGAAAAACAACAAGAAAATCGAGCGTCAGTAACAACGCAGCATCAAACCAAACTCTATCCTAACAAGCAAGCGTGTCTGTAACAGTGCACAAGCAAGGTTGCACAATAACACGCACACACATACGCTAGAACATTCACACAGACATAAACACACACACAAACATAAAGACACGTACGAAGTTATCTTCAAAGCACATGCATGACATCGAGCAGCAGAAACTTGCATCATCTTGACGGCATTTGAGATAATGTGGTTAATTTGCTGGCAGATGTTTCGTGGACTCAGAAGCAGCGTGACCGAGTCGACATAGCACGGACGCGTACAGTTAAGAAAACATTTCCATGTATAATTCAGAATGCCTGCGTGCAACTATTATGTTTAACATTAGCTGCTATTTTAAATGCTGTACGACTGTAAATATATACCACCGTATGACTAAATATATAAACCACATAAAGACTAAATATATACGACTCTACACGCACACGCACGAATGCACGCACACACAAATTTAAAGTTTATGTGAAGCGTCTGAGATGAAATATTGAGATGAAGTTTATCTGATTAATATATTTATTTTAGAAATTTAATATTTATATGTTGCAGCATTTCATTATATTGCTATCATCATCGTAACTATAACATCTCGTTAGCGATACATACCAATGCGACGACTCTTTTGAATGAAACCAAGTCATGAAAAAAGCCAAAAACGAAAATAAAACCAAAGTAAAAATTGGCCGAGAGAGCTAAAAATTTTTTAGCAGGTGAGAGGTGTTTTAAAAATAGGGATGTGCGAGGTATAAAAATATGGTTGGTTGGAAGAATTTTATGAGGCTATAAATTTTTCAGTTGTTTTTTACAGGTGGCAGAAATGACTACGTTGCATGATAATGGCGATGACGGGGAAGAGGTTTTCTCGATGATGATGGTGTGGTGATGATGGTGATGACGACACTGATAATGATGAAGATTTGATGAGAACGATATGACGATGCTGTCTGTAAAAATGGAAAATGATAATAATATTAGCGATGATAAAGCTGATGATGGCGTTTAGTGCAGTGAAATGATGAAGATGATGGAGAAAGAAATGGGACCAGGAAGATGAAAATAATAAAAATGACGAAAAAGATGATGATGATAATGATGATGATGATAAAGATCATGATGAGAAAGATCATGATGAAAAAGATGGTGCTGATGACGATGAAAAAGATGATGCTAATGATGAGGATAAAGATGAAAATGACGATGATGACGATAGCATGCAACCAACTGAAGGTTCCTATTTTAAGCGATGTAATTGAAATTGCTTTGTCTTAAAATTTTTGTGATGATTAGAATAATGATGATGATCGTGACGATGATGATGACGACGATTCAGCACTTGAAGAAAGTGGTGATGATGAAGACAATTATGAATAATATAAAAATGATTGCAACATTAACGATATTTCACATCTGATATGAGTGCCATTTTGAAGAAATGATGAAGATAATAAATAATCAATTTGAAAAAATTAAAGATGAATGTGATGAGATCAATGATGAGAACAAAAAATAGAAATGTTTTGTTATCTTATTGATAATCACGATGATGTTTATGATGAAACTGGTGACAATGGTGATGATAAACTTTTAAATAATTTTATCGTGACGTCATGCTGGTGGTTATGACTTCCGGCATTATATTTATTTTTCAAAATTTTTCCCTTATTTTATGATTTTGTTAATTTTAAAGCAATTTATTATTGCCACTTTCTTAAAATTGCAGCAGTTCCTCTGATGTTCATTCTGCACCACGATCCTCTTTTAAGAATTTTTTTTAAATTTTAATTTTCCACAAGTAGAATGAATCCTCCTCCTTTTGCTCCTCCTCCCACTTATCACCGTCGCTACAGCCGCTGTCATCATCATCGTCATCATCATCTTCATCATCATCGTCATCATCATCTTCATCATCATCGTCATCATCATCGTCGTCACCATCGATACGTTAAAAAATTGTAACGACAAATAATTGACCAAAAACTAATTAATATAACACGACCTGACCTAAAATTCATCAACAGTTGGCGTTAATTACGAAAAAGTGTTGGTAGTCACAAGTCATTCATTCACATTAATCAACGACTTTCACTTTTTATCAAGAATATTTTATATATTATATAAACAAATATTTATATTTTATTATACAATTAGTAAACAAAGTGGCAGCAGCGTTGAATGAATGAAGTAAAGAAGAGAGAGAGAAAGAGAGAGAGAAAGAAAGAGAGAGAATGAGAGAGAGAGAGAGAGAGAGACCAAGCCCATCATTAACGCAAGGAAAGAGACTTGAAATCGTTAAAACTGGGTGCTCCGTGCATGTGACTGTTAGAGTAATGTTACTCCTACCTTACTGGCAATCATTCAAAGGCGCGGGAAAAAAAATTCAAACAAAAATTCAGGAAAAAGAAACAGAAAATAAAAATGGAATGAAGATGCAGATGCTGGTTTATTGACAAGTAGAAAAATATCAGCAGCAGATCGGGGGCTGGTGACGCTGCAACCTAAATACACAGGGCGCCACACACAACAATAACAATAATAATAATAATAATAATAATAATTTCAATCATCATCAGTATCGTCGGTACGAGATAAATTCTCCTGTAGAAGTTGTTGGAGATATATTTATATCGAAAAAAAGCCTTATTGGAAAGTTTCCCTCTCTCAAGGGTAATTGTTTCTGACAGGTGCAGATAGAATATTCATTTTTCGCGCGCAAATTTCGCCATTTCACAATCACTTTTCGACAATCATTCTATCGTTTTAGTGTTTTTCTAGCGCGTTATTTCTATTTAAAATTTCAATTATTGCTTTGAAGTACGTTGTTTTATGGTTTTCTTACATGTTTTTAGTGTTGTAAGCGGTATAAATAGATATAGTTGTTTGTTTTTGTTGTTGTTGTTGGTCGTTGCAATCAAAATTGTTGTTTTTCATTATTGTAATTGAAATTTTTGATGTGATAATGTTTTTTTATGGCGTTTGAAATGTTGTTGTTATTGTTATAATGGTTGATGTGATGACAATAACGTTATAAGGTTAGGAAGTGTCAGAAGGTTCAGTGAAATAATAATTTTGTCATTCAATTTAGCTATGTAGTTTCATTTTCACATTATAATTTATTGATAATCATTTTATTTTTTTTAATTTATTGAAAAAAAAAATTTTTTTTTGTCTATGGTCTTATTTTTCAATTATACTTTGTTTCAATTGTTATTCCCTCTGGATATCTGTCAGGCTATTGTTGGCGTGTGTGACGATGTAATAAATGAATGAACGAGTGAATTGATGAATGGATAGATGGATGTTTTTATGGATGAATGAACGAGTGAGCTGATGGATGGATGGATGATTGAATGCTTTAATGGATGATTGAATAAGTTTATCGATCGAAGAATAGATGGATGACTGGAAAAAAGAACATTTTACGCTATAAACAAAATTATTCGAATGTTGAATGAATGAATGAGTGAATGAATAAATAAATAAATAAAAAAAAGAGTGAGTACATGAATTGAGTGTTAAGTGAATAGTTATATAAGCAAATGAATATTCTCACTACCATCATCGTCTTCATTGTCATCATCACCATCATCGTCGTCCTCGTCTACAGCAAAAGCAACAAAAACAACGGCAACAACAGCAACAACAATAACAACAGAGTCGACATCATTATTTGATGATGAGTTATAAAAACGAAACGACAGCAAGACTGCCACATCAGAAGCAAAACCATCTCCATTTTATTTCCCGCCTCTTCCTTCCCTATCAATTTTTAATAACTCCATCAAAAACATACCACCCACAACGACCGTGACGACATTTCTTAAAATGATAACCTTGTCACTTATAAAATAGATAGAGATATTGACATTTACTATCAGTGGGTTTGAATCTTTCCCATGTTCTCTTCCATAACTAAATAATAAATAAATAGCCTAATAGCTAGCAGGTTTACCAGGTTTACATACACTCGTAAGAAAATAACAAACACATCTAGACCAATGTTTTTTATATTTATTTATTTAACTTCTTAAAATTATAATTAATAAAATCTTTGTGTCGATCGGAAGAAATTAAATATTATTTTCATTGAATTGATGAAAATTTATTAAAATGAATCACTAAAGGAAGAAATTGAACATGGATTATGAATAGAACAAACATACAAACACCTAAAACAATTTTTAAAAATTGTTAAATATTTAAAAATTATTTTTGAATAAGCTAATAAACATGGGAGAAGTTTCAGACAAATGAAATAACCTTATATTAAAAAACGAAAAAATTATCATGTGATGAATTTTGAAGTAGTATCTTTAAGATATGATCAACAGAGAACACGCGATTATTTAGCAATGTTGTTGTCCTCTTTAATTTTAATATTTAAGTTTTTTTAATAAGAGTAAAGTGTTTTTATTTCTCAATAAATTTGTTTAGAACATGCTAGAACTTTGTGAAAAGATGTTTAACGTTAAAAATGTTCATGATAGATTGTTCTGAAATGTTTTGGGCTTTCCATATTTCAATTTGGGCTCATGTATCAATCTTTTTTCATAATAATAATTTTTTAGTTTTGTTTTTGCATTTATAAACTTTAAAAAATATGTAATAAAAATTAATAAACTATTATAAAAAAGGAAATAACAAAAGAATGATTATAGTAGATGAATTATGACTATGAACATGTGTGAACAAGAATGAATGAATGAATAAATGAATGAATGAACGTTTGTATGTATGAATGACTGGATGAATGAATAAATATATGAATGAATGAATAAATAAATAAATAAATGAATGAATGAATGAAGGATTGAATGAGTGAATGAATGCATGAACGTTTGTTCAGCTATTTGAAAAAATTTATTTACAAATTTCTCAAATTGATGAATGAATGTGTAAAAATTATTCAATGAAAGATTGAATGATTGATTGGATGTAAAAAATAAATTTTTACGGTATAAACAAAAACGAACGAACAAGCAAACGAATGAATGAATGAATAATGGAAAGAAGAATCAATTTTAAGAACGAATGAAAACATTTGACAACAATCGTCATCAATCACGACAGCGTTTTGTGAACATATTAATTAAATTCAACAAAATAAAAAAAAAATTTCATTTGAGATTTTCAATGAAAAATTCATATAATGGTGATTTCAATAGTTTTCAATTTTTAACAGCAGCCGTTAAAGTGATGATGTTAAAACAATGATGATGGATGATACAGAATAATGATGATACAAAATGATGATGATACAGAATAATGATGATACAAAATGATGATGATACAGAATAATGATGATACAAAATGATGATGATTCAAAATGAAGATGATACAAAATGATGATGATACAAAATGATGATGATTCAAAATGAAGATGATACAAAATGATGATGATACAAAATGATGATAATACAAAATGATGATGATACAAAATGATGATGATACAAAATGATGATGATACAAAATGAATAGTGATGATACAAAGTGATGATGACATAAAATGATAATGATACAAAATGATGATGACACAAAATGATGATGATACAAAATGGTGATGATGATTTTGGTCGTTATCATCATGTGCAATGTCCTATCTTATTTTATTTTAAAATTCGATTAAAGAAGCGAGTTGGCGCAAATATATATCAGCAATAACAATGCATTGAAAATTTATATTTGTTTGTTTCGTTCTTAAAATAACTCTTCTTTCAAAGTTGCGTATTCAACAAAAAAATGTTAATTCCTACAAAAAGTTACTTTCAATATACGGCGAATAACATTTTCAAAATTCAAACATTCAAGAAAAAAAATCACTTTTTAGCAAAAAAAAAATCTTTGATCAATCATAGCAGCAAAATTGGAAAACAACATCAACACCAGCAACACTAGCAACAATAAAATTACATACCCGACGAGCGACAACACGTAAGAGAGTGGAATAAAATAGCAAAGAATATATGCCGGAGCGATTTCGGTAATAAAAGTAATGAGAGGGCCAATAAACAAACCATAAAAGAACAATGCATGCAGTAGGAAATCACATGATTACACGGACATAAAAATATAAAACGAACATACATAGGTACACAAACGTTTAAGCAATAACACATACACATAGACACGTACGCACACACGCACGCACACACACATACACATATATTTACATATATACATACCTGCATACGTACTTGTCAAATATATGCGTATATAAGAGTCAGCATCAAATTATCCAAACACTCTTAAACTCATTTTACCATACATACAAACAAACAAAACAAAAAAATCTAGACATACAGCCATCATCTTAATATACAACTGCCTTTGCAAACAAATGTTTCTCTAACTAAACACAAACGCGCCTATAATTACAAACATTTAAAAACGCTCGTAGATATAGGAACAAATCGACAAACTAAACACACCAACGTACAGCTACAACAAACACATCAACAATACACAATTACATAAACAACATACTATCACATCAACAACACACAATCACATTAACTACAACAAACATCAAACAATCACATCAACAACAATACAGACACATCAGCATTATAGACACATCAAACAAAATCAACACCAAACAAACCAAACGGCTAAAATGTAAAAAATGCAAATAAAATAAATACAAATCTTGTCCCAACTTCCTCCATGTTTGTCCAGTGACAAACCTTGCAGGAGGTGCGTTATCGTCAAAAACTAATTAAATATAATGAAAAATATGTATCTTTTTGAACAATTCTCACAAAAGTTTACAATGTTTACAAGAATAAAAACGTGTAGAATCACACAATTTTTACAGGACAAGTATCTCACACAGAGACACGCACACACACACACACACCACACACACACACACACACAAACAGACACACTGCTACACCGACAGACAAACACACAGACACACAAATAACACACACTTACAAATACAAAGGTTGCAATTGCAACATCGTTCATCTCTGAGAACATGATTAAGCATTCAGATCCAGAAACGATGGAATTTAATTAAAATCTTGAGAAAGAAAAGAAATATACTACTGTAATTGTAATGTTGCTGAAAATAAATTGTTTCTATTGTCATGTTTGAACACGAATTTACACTAATCTAACTTCACTTTTAAACATTTATTAAGGCCATGATAGCGTTTGTAACAGCGGTGACGTCATTGTGAAGAAGATGATGACGACGATGGTGAAGATGGAACTGAAAAAATTTGATGGTCCGATGGCGTTGCTGATGAGAGAAAAAATAACGAGATAACAATGATTACGATGGAGACGACGATAAATATTTAAAAGTGGATTTAGAAAAGCTTTGAAAGAAAGCAGGAAATAGCGGCCTGCAGCGGAAATGATCAGGCGATAATAATGATGAAACAATCGATGAAGCGGTCTGAAGTTTTGATGTTGTGATGTTGAGCGAGGTGTGTGCAACCGTTCGCCTACTGTCAAATCTAATTTGTCCGTCAGAGTCTTCAGTGCCGCGAACGTCTCTTTGAAGAGCCGTCGAAGGAACTTCACCACACAAACAAGAACTCTCATTATGGAAGCTGAATTCAGTAGCGTAACAGAAGCAATCACTAACGATACGGTTACAAAATTTGAATTGATTTTAGAGGTACGCACGATGATTAGAAAGTTTATACTGTTGGCTGACGACGTGAAGTACTCGTTGTAGGGCGACGAGAAGTTGCAGTGGGATCTAACGATGGAACGCGTGTTTTCAATTAAAGGATTGACGAATAACCTACTGTAGTCGCTTTCTAATCGGTTGATCATTTGCAATGAAGATAATGATGAAGATGTTGAAGACGACGACGATGTTGAGATCAAGTGTTGATTGTGATCTTGGTTGTTGTTGTTGATGTTGTTGCTGTTGTTGTTGTTGATGTTTGGCTGGTTTCTTCTCTGTTGCTGTCTGCAGCGATGTTTGATATCCCGCTTAATGCTGTGGAAACAATCCAGCGCAACCTTCGTTACCCTGGCGAGCAAACGAAAATTTTAATTTCAGTATTATCCAAATAAAATTTTCTTAAAAAGTTTTCAAACTTGTTGCGTGATTAAACAACTTTAGCATAACCACAGCCCGCCCGAACAAATGGCAGTTCTTATGGTTACGATCCAAAAAATGAAATAATTATAACGAATGAATGATCTGATCAAAAGGTTAGATCATTTTAATTTTTATTCTATAAGTTTCAGAATAATATATTTAAAGTATCTTGATAAAAATATAGTAGAGATGATATCAAGGAGGAAGAAAAACTGATGTCAGCATCATGTAAAAACATACACACACACCACACACACACACACACACACCACGCACTGACACACACAGACACACATACACAGACTCACACAAAGGCACACATACACCACGATCGCACATTTTCATCAGCCAAACGGTTATTTACATTTCGGAAAGATAGATGAGGAAGATTGAAATTTGAAAAAAATATAGTTAATTTATTTTATTTCATTAAATTTATTTTACTGTATTGAAGTGAGCTAATAGAAAACAGCAATTTTTTTAGACACTACAATTACTACTGCTATTAGTACTACTACCACTGCTATTTGGTACTACTACCACTGCTATTAGTACTACTACTACTACCACTGCTATTAGTACTACTACTACAACAACTGCTACTATTAGCACATTTATTTGTCATATCTCAACCACTACATTACAACTACTATAAACAGATCAAACTCTAATCAGACTCACAGAGGCCCTGGCCAACGGAAAGGTAAGCTCTAACTTAGCGGAGACCCTCAATTATTTTGATTATTTCAATTTTTTTCTTAATTTTTATATATTTTAATAAAATGCAATTTTTATCAGTGGAAAATATTTTAAAAATAAAAATCTACAAATTTAAATTATCTTTCTTGTGGAATTCTTTTTTTCTGAAGGACCTGGTGTGGTAGTTAGCTCTTAAAAAAGGCTAAAAACACCAAAAAATAACGGTAGCGACAAAGGCTACTTCTTCAACTGCTACTACTACAATAACTACCACTACAACAACTACCACAATTACTACAACGACTACCACAGTTGCTACAACAACTTCAACTACCTTAAAGGACTAATGCTTCGGCTACCTGAACAGCAGCTATAATTACTGCGTCTCTTCTTGCTATTTCTCCCTTGCGCCATTTAAATAAATTAATTATTTACCTTTCATTTACAACTTCTGCTCGCATGTAATTTTGTGTGCAAACAAAACACGCCTGTAAACTAGACATACATGTAAACAATACATACATGCATATCATTATTATTATTTTTGTATACATGCATATTATTATGTAAATCATTAGTTAAGATAGAATATAATCATTAACAAAATTAGTTCAAATTTCAAAAATTGAAACAAAACTAGATTGAAGTAGTTTAAGAATTTAAACTTTGGCGTTGAATATCACGATCTGCAAACAGGCACTGTGTAGAAAAATGTTACAAGTTAGTAGTACAAGGCGAGCTACGTATTGAGCGTAAGAATTACATTAAACATTAACATTGGAATAAAACTTAAATAAAGTTGGTCTTAAACGTTAAGTATGTATGTCTTAAGTGTGAACCTAATCAGCTGCATAATAATACATACAGACTGTTGTATTTGTTTGTACGTAGTATAAAAATACAAATGTTTTTTTCATTAAATATTACAAATACAGACAGACGAGAAAGTTGTACGTATACAATGCATTTTTATTATGTATTCATGGAAATAATTTGTTTGCTTAACTGAAAAAAGTTAAATTTGAAAATCGTGAATGTGTGAGAGTCCTGCTGTTTTGACCTTTTTTAGTGCAACTTGCGCATACATTTCCACACACAATCACAAAGACACATAAACACATTACACATTTATATTCTTACAACAATTTTCGTATCTAAAATAAAAATCTTCATTATGCCGATGTAATTTTTTAAATAATAGAGCTTATTAAACAAAATAATATACATATAAATATGGACAATCCTGTAATAAAAAATGTAATGGTAGATTATTTTCGGACAACGTTATGAAATAAAATCAGATCTTTATTGCAGGGACTTTATGAAATAAAGATAATAATACATTGGCATCGCGCGCAATATTCCGAACTGAATTAGGTAATCATTCACTTGCATGTTTAAACGCACGCGAATCTGCCTGCCTGCTTACGAAACTAAGTAAGAAGAAGTATAGAATGGTATTTTGTTGTTGTTGTTGTTGTTGTTGTTGCTGTTCTTACTCTACTAAACTTGGAATTACCTGTTATATTGTTGGTTTTAGTATTCTAATGACACTTTCACCATTTTCGTTGTTGCATTCATGTCGTTTGTTCTAATGGGTTTGTTGTTAATGTGATGGCTGATGCTAACGAAACCACATGTTTGTTAGTTGCGTGAGTCTCACGCAGTTCATTTTTAAGTCACTAGAGTTCCTTCGATTAAAATATACTTTTTTTCCCCTTTTCCAGATTTTAAATCACAGATGTGCTCGGTTGAAAATTTAAAATAATGTCACCCCACATGCCAGATTTAATTTAATTTACGCTTACATACGTGAAAATGCGCCTTTATTCCACGTAATGTCTCCAAGTGTGTGCGTGTGTGCGTGTGCGTGTGTGAGAATATGTGTGTGTTTGTATGTGTGTAAATGTTTGTGTATGCGCGTGGGCCTGTTTGTGGTTTGTTGTGCCGGGAGCAATTTTCATATTAGCGACATGTGCAGCGTGTAATTTGTTGCATTGTACGTATTGTGCGTGCATTCCGTTTGAGGCCTATGAAAGTGGGCGTATTGAGCTATCTCTCCCGTATTTTGAACGTAGAACAACATTTGAAATATTTCAATTAATAATAAATATTATATAATCTAAAATCCAATTGAATTGGATTGGATTATGTTTATTGTTTGGGGTGCATTAGATCGGGATTTAAGTGTTTGATTATGTTGGTCGAGTTTGAATGATAAAGATTGTTAATTCGCGTATGTGCATGCAAGTGCTGAAACTGTTGTAAATTTAAGCTGGCAACGATGACAATGAGCAGATTTATTAAAAGTTAGCTTAGACGAACGTGTACTGAGTGGGTTAGGATTAGTTAGTAATGAAGTCCGCAGACATTTATTACAAATTAAAACATGATTATTTAAAAAATTGTTATTTATGCGTTGAATATTGCAAGAATCATATTGAAATTAAAATTCAACAGCGTCGTTTTGAGATTCACAGAATTTTTTAAAGTGAAAATTTTCATATTAAATTTGTTTTTGTAGTCAAAGCTTTTCCGGACAAACTAAAATTTAAAAAATACTTGCTATGTAAACAACATTGGAATGTACGGTGAGCAGAAATTGATTGTCAACTTTTTGAAACTCTCGAAGCCTACTCCATCGGCTGATAAATAAAAAGAAACAAAAGATGACGGAGACGATTACCTGGAAGCTTTCTTCATTTGTAATCTCACAAAATAAATCCAGGTGATGTGGACGATAGCCACAATAATGAGGATAATGAAAAAAATGATATGATAATGTTTATTAATGCCGGCAGGCCCTGGAAGAGGAGAGGGGACAGTAAGGAGAGTCATTTGACATGGGGCTCCGAGTTTAAGGTTTTTGAAAATCTAAAAAAAGTTTTTGAAGTTTATTGTAGGGGTTATAATCGTTAAAACGGTTGGCGATCTCTATTTTACTTAGCACACAACTTTTTACGGCAATAACTGACACTGAAATGTGCCCGACCCGGGTCTCATAATGGTTCTTACAGGCTCTGAATGTCGTTATACGTCGTATATTTGCTCTCTAGCGGGTGAACAAACTTTCAAAAAATTTGATGAGTTTTCAACCATTTCGTTGGCGTTACTTTCAACGGTTGATAAATTTGTCTGTCTTCGTGAATTTTCATCAGATCGCTCATTTATTTCGAATTTATTATTTCAATCGTTTGAATGGATTTTCGCGACTCAATCAAACGAACATTCAGTTAGAAATGCGGTCATCAATCATTATTCTAGATAAAATAATGTTTATAGCTTTTTATAATTGAACTACCTTCTTTCTATAATTTTTTTCATCTATTTGTCGGTTCCCTCTATCTCTTTCCATCTCCTTCTCTCTTCTCTCTCTCATCAAATTTTCAATTTTTTACTCATTCATTCACTCATTCATTCACTCACCTGCAAACCCCTCTGTAATCTTTGTTGTGGAAGTATGTGTGTAGGTGGTTCTCGTAAGCCTCTGTGCACGATCTTGTTCGCTTCATGTGTGGCAACAGACAGGTCAAGGTGGTTTCGTGACCTACAAATGTTATTAATTTTGATTAGATGACCCATAAATATCTTTCATTTTAATTGGCTGACCAACAAATATTATTAATGTGGTTTGGGTAATCTAAAAATACCATTAGTTTTGATTGGGTAACCTACAAATATTAATAATTTTAATTTGGTGACCTACAAATATTCGTGAATTTAATTGGCTCACCTCTAAATACAAATAAAGGTAATAGGTTGAAATAGTATATTAGTTTATAAATAGGTGACTCACCGATCTTAAAAAATTTGTCACATTCTAATATGAATTATTCCTGTTGAATGAGTTGCTTAATAATTGATTGGTGTTCGAATTTAGTTTGAATATAACTATTATAGTATATATAAGAGTAGCATTTTTAATTACAGACATTTTTTACATTTTTACATTGTCTTCTCTACAGTCAATTCAGAACAGAGCGGCCAGGATTGTTAGTGGCCGTTTGAAGTTTGATCACATTAGTCAAACGCTGTTGGATCTTCATTGGCTTAATGTTAGGAAAAGAATCTTATACAAAATTTCCATCATGGTGTTCAAATGCCTGAATGGTCTCAGTCCAAGTAACCTGTCTGAAATGATAATACGTAGAGTTAGATCTGATCCGTCAATCAAGTTGCGTTTAGATGATCAAGATTTATTGATGGTGCCGAAAACAAAGTTGGCTGTTGCTGATAGAAGTTTTGCAGTTGCTGGTCCTTCGATCTGGAATAATTTGCCCCATCACCTGCGTCGGCCGGGATTAACTCTTCGACAGTTTCGCAAGGAATTGAAAACTCATATCTTCTTGGATTGATTCGCACAAATCATGGAGCGCCTTTGGATGACTATAAAAGGCGCTCTACAAGTTCTCTAATAATAATAATAATAATAATAATAATAATAAAAGTTTTAGACAGATAGTATTCGAACCATGTCATCGTGCAATAGCAATAACATCGAAAGTCATGGCACTTTTACTGTCTGAGCTAATTTGCAAACCAATAAAAGGCATTGAAAAAGGTGATGATTGTAAATGAGTTGTTGATGAAGAAGATGATTAGAATGATAATGAAGAAGAAAATGATGATGAAAAAGATGGAGAAGATGCTGATAAGAATGATAATGATCAATGAAGATGATGATGATGATGTGGGAAAAAGAAACGACAAAGAAGAGATAAAAAAAATTAGGCGTGAGCTTGACTACGAGTCCGAGACATGATAGATGGAAAGATGGATTGGGAAATGGATGAATGAATATATCACAACTTCACTAATGATGGAAGGGTGAGTTGATGGATGAAACATAAAAACTTGGAAACTGGAAGCATGGATGCAATACAATTTAATGAAATAAATATCGAATAGAAAAAATTTAAAAATATTCAAATTTCATTAACTGATTATTTTGATGTTATTAACTGATTATGATTATTTAATAAATAAATAAATAAATATATAACCTTAAAAATAACCAGGAAATGAATGTAAGTTAAATAGAAACAAGATTTTATTAACGAATGAATTCCAATGAAAATTAAAAATTTTGAAATAACTGGTTGAAAATAAACTATTAAACGTACGAATGAATGAATGAGTGAGTGAGTGAGTGAATGAATAAATGAATGAATGAATGAATAAAGGAAGGTTGAACATAGGAAGCAAATCATCACACTTCATCAAACAGATGCAATCAAGTTTGGTTCACCACTATATTGTTGTTGTTGTTATTGATGTGTTGTTATTGATGTTGTTGACATTGTTGACGTTGTTGCTGTTATTTATGTTGTTGTTGTTGACGTTGTCGTTGATGCCAATTATAAATTTTTTTTATTATTGTCAGGATTATTACAATTGCCATCGTCATCATTGTAACTTTATTTGGGTAATGACAATAACATTAACAATAATATAATCAATAACAATAATAATAATAATATAATGAAAAAGAATATAATAATAATAATGATAGTAATAATAATAGCAAGCAAATTAATAACAGTAATCCGACTATAAAGGCAACGGCTATATGTGGTGGTCACGTGCAAAAAAAAAATTAAATATTTTTGTTTTTTTTGTTGATGTTATTGTTATTACTACAATTGTTGTTGTTGTTTTTGTTGTTGTTTATGTGTTGGTAGACGCTCCGAGTATCAATATTGTAACGATAGCAATAAAATTTCACTCTTTGCCTTGCTGCGCCACAATAAGAGAGAGGAGTGTGCCATCAACAACTGCCAAACAACTGCATCCCTCGTTCGTTTACTTACATCAACTACGCAACAAAAACATTAACAACGTTTATAACTGTCACATCAACGACAACACTAACAAAACTACTAAGAACAGCAACAGCAGCAACAACAACTACAGCAGCAGCAACAACAAAAACAACAAAAATACAACAACACAACACAAACACAACAACAACAACACTAGCAGCCCAAACAACAAGCACCACTATAATTACACGAGTTAACATTTTTGTCTTTTCAGTTTTTCTGTATTTTTCGATATGAGATATTATTAATCCGCCATATGTCATTTACACGCCTGAATGCCTGCGTCAGATTCTTGTGCATTGTGAATGCGTGCATGTATGCATTGTGAATACGTGTGTGTATGCATTGTGAATGCGTGTGTGTATGCATTGTGAATGCGTGTGTGTATGCATTGTGAATGTGTGTGTGTATGCGTTGTGCATGGAAAGCCATTTTTATGTGTATAATTCAAAAGTGTAGGTGGTCTTGGGGTTGTAGCTTGGACTCCCTACAAACAATTATATTTTCAAATTACTAAAAAATTTCTGCATTTGCTTCCCAGACCACATATATACACAATTACATACCCACATGCATACAAATTAAAATACAAACAAGATTTTATGGCGTTAGTTGAGCACTTAGTTCATTTGTCTATTAAAACTTGTCCTCACATGTTTCCATTGATCTGCTGCAACATGAAAGCCAGACCGTAAAGATGTGTTAACTGCTACTGAGAATTATTTCTTTACAAAAGTAATAAAAATAATTAAAACGACGATGATGAAGAAATGATGATAGCTAGAATGACAATGATGATAACTGTCTTGTAGTGACGATGACGTCATTAATGATTATGATGACAGTAAAAACGAAACGAACACGTAGCGTCTCCTCTGACGACGATGGTTTTAGTGGTTATGAATAACTTTTCCTATCTCCAGCCGCCAGCCGAATGACAACCGTGAAATCAGAACAAACACATCAACAGCCAAGCAAGTAAGTAAGAGACATTCAATGACATTCGATGAAATATTTGACGGTCTCACCGATGACAGGGCAAACAAAATGACGTCAGTGCTGACGTAATTATGATAGGCCTACGTCAACATTATTTGTAATGTAAGCGCATTCTTATTAGCATGTCATTAACTTGTCAATTTTTTTTTATTGTTAAATAAATTCAAATAAAATGTAGAAATGTTCAATAATTAAATAAAAATCGCGCTAGATAAGTTAGATAAGTTTGAAATGAAGGGCAATATACATGGAAGATTCAAAAATCGTTGTTGTACAACTTGAAATAATTAAAGCAACGGCAAAATTATTTGCAGAGTGATTTTATTTTTAAATTAAAATTAACTAACAACATCAAAAACTTCTAAATAACACCAGACAAAAATATATTACAGAAACTACAAGTTACCGTCAATAAACAAAAAACAACGCTACAAAATAAAAAATATCAACAACGACGGCAAAAATAACAAAATTGATATCCACAACAACTGCATCAATAACAACAACAAAAACTAAACAACAAAAACATAGATGACATCAACAGTAACAACATCAACAACAAAAACAGCAGCAGCAGCAGCAACAACAACAACAACATAGATAACATCATCAACAACAACAGCATGAACAACACAAATAGCGGCAACAATAATATGGCTCTTTAGAACTCCTCAAATACTTTCCAACTAACAATCCAAACTGCGTGAATGACTGTCAGTCAACACGGAGCAGTCAGCATCATCGTCATCCTCCTCTTCATCATTTTCGTCATCTTCGCCACCACCATCATCATTATTACCATCAGCTTCATCGTCATCTTTTTCATCGTCAACACCATCCTCATTCCATCATTACCATTACCCTTACCATCATCATCATCACTATCTTCGTCGTCATCATCTTCATCTTTGACGTCATCGTCATCATGCACTCATTTTACTGCAGCCACGTGTACCACGTGACTTAATATGACATCATCAAACCTACATTTATTTATTTACCATGCTCTTACTGCTGACTGAATGCTAAATGTTATTAAACGTGTTTGATGGGAAGTCGGGCGATGATGACAATGATAATGACGATTACGACGATGATAACGTTGATGATAACGATGATGATGACAAAAATGATAATATTATGATAACGATGATTGTAAAAGAAAGATGATAATGATGATGATAAAATGAAAGATACTGATGTAAATATGATGATGATGATGATGATGATGGCGTTGGAGAAAAAGTAGATGATGAAGTGACGAGAATAAATTAAGGATATGCTGAGGGTGTTGATAAAGTGGCTGTTGCAGCTACTGCAGCAGCTGCTGACGACCGCAAGAGGAAATACTGGAGCGGTAACGACCGTGAAATAAATTATGATGATTTTGACAAATTGGTGACAATTTATTTGATTTAAAAACGATTAAAATGATTAATATTTCACATTTGCCATAGCCAAAATGACTAGAGACGATGATGTTTGGTGATGGAATGATGACGCCTCCGGGTACTACATTAATACATGGGACGCCAGGTCAGCCTTCTAAATTAATAGTATTAATGATAAATTTAATAAGAGTAAATATACTTGCTTAATAATTATAATTAAAGAATTGGATTAAAGGGTTGGATAATTTTAATAATTAAACTATTAGCGAGAGAGAGAAAAAGAGAGAGAAAAAGAAAAGA